GTCTTCGGGGTAAGCGAGGAGCCGTAGGTAGTCCAGGACGTATTCGAACATATCACCTCGTCTGTCCAAGAAAAAGCGGCCTTGAGAATCCTTTTGCAGAACATTTTGGGAATTTCGCACGAACCATTGTTCTAATTTTGAGCCTTTCTCTGCGGTAAGAGTTCTCGTGGAAGCCGTGAAGTAAGTTCCACCAACGTTGAGCTCAATAATCGAAGAGCTCATGCTTATTCTGGCCGGTATTTCCGTTTTCCGGTCACACTGACTGAGTCCTTATATATCAACAAATTCTATTATGGGAATGGGTAGAAAACTGGCCAATCAGCTGCAACCATTATTCTTGAGCTACCTGCAGGCTCCACTCAGATTTTCCGGGCAAAATAATTACTAGGCGGACAGCAGAGAACTGATATAACTGATATGGCGTTCTTTGTCTCCTGTTGCTTTGAAGACAGCCCTTCTGGCTAAAACTAGATGAATATTACTGGCAATATTCTATATGCTCCTACATAGCGAAAAACTGCTTTGATGTGGTCGAAAAATCGTTTACCAGGAAAAACCCTCGTCATTTCCTTGGGTCTGGTTGGCTCTTATAAGGACCTAATTCCTGTAGGGGCATGGATTATATCCTTCTAAAGAAGCCTTCTGCATAAAGGCTATGTTAAAAAGAAAATATAGCACCGAATATGGAAGTATTTTAACTTAACTAGTCTCTCAACATCTCATAATGCTGACAGATACTTTTGATATACTCTTAAATGGGATCAAGTCGAAGCTTGGTTAACGAATAAAGGCATGCCTAGTCAATTCTTAAAAGGTAAAATACTGAGGTCGGGCAAGAAAACGTCGTGCAAAGTGAATTTGACCGAACAAATATTAAGTATTTTGCATATATACTACGGATTTTTACTTGCATAGACTAGGTCTTGCTTCAGAAAACTGCCTTGTAATTATGGTTACCAAATGTAGTAGTGACTATACCCTTTGTAATATCTTTGCTTGCGCTTAGAGTTTGCGCTTTAGAATACATTTTTAATCATGTACTCATTATGTCAAAGCTGCAGTTGTTGCCCTAACTCATGAAATTGAAAGCTTTTTACAAAAGAAAGCCTGTTACGCAAAAGAAAGCCCAAGCTGTGTCCCTCAAAGCCGTACAGCAGAAAGGTAAACATTTTAATAAGAAGAAGAAATATTGTGGTTAGGAATAGTAAGTTGTTTTTAGGGTAAAACAAAAAAATCAATGTCTTCTTCAGAATTCAACCAGCGACGGAATACCTCTTTATAGAAGCACATTATCTAAGGAGCAAATGAATTGGATGTGGTCCAAGAAATGTATCAGAAAGTAAAAACGCCCGGCAGTTCAAATCAGAATTTTTGACTCCCCACCAAAAGCCGACATGTCTCCTTCTCTAAGCAGGACGTTTAAGAAAAGTGAAATTTCTCAAAACATATGGGCGCGGACTTCACTTTTTGTACACCATATAAGTAAGGCATTCACAGACCGAGTATTGAGTTTGCTATCCTGGATCATGAGAGTAGCCCGATACCCCTTTCAAGCGATTTTGGAATCTGAACAGTTTAAACCTTTCCACTGTTAAACTACTGGCAATCTTGCACGAATTTCGGCATAAAAGGCAGGCATGTAGAGCACAAAAATAAGTGAGGGTTTGGTTAAATATTAGTTTCGGATAACGTTATTTGTCTTCCTAGAAAATAACTGAATAATGACAAACGGAGCGATTAAAATAAAAACTCGTTTAAAATTTGAAAGTCCTGAGGTTTGCCAAGGCCTAGTAAGCCCCTACGAAAGGAGATTACCAGAAAATATCGTTTAAAACTATGTCCTTCTCCGCTCAAAAAGATGGATACTTTCTCAGTCACAAGGATCGTCAGCCTAGGAGTGAACTATCTAAAGGAGAAGAAACATGAGGTTTATTTGACTAAGAAACTGGCCTCAGTGGAACAAAAGAAAGTTAAATGGGTATATATTTTTAATATAGATATAAAGTTAATCGTAAATATCAAAACATGTGCGTCCCAATAAATCCGAATACCCGTCGAACTCATCTGTACTGTCGACAATAAGGTCTAAGACCGAGTAATTGTTTTATAAAACACCGCCGCCACCAGAACCCCCGCGATGCCATGACTGTGCTGTATTTAGAAGGTCGTTGGGAGGTTATTTTTCGCGCAAGTGTGTCGTCCAACCGCGAAAGGAAAGGGAGCCAAAGGAAGGAAATTTAGCGCGGGAGAGGCTGAAAGATTGAGAAAAAGGCTGTTCTTAACCGAATTATGTCCATTGCAGTCTCACGCACTTCCCAGACTCAAGACACAGATATGTAGAAGTCAAGTAAACGCTTTTCCCACAATGCTGTGGTTAGCAACCTGCTTGATCCCTTTCTGTCCGCCTACCAGCTCCCTACTGTGCCATGAGACACATGCCAAATATGATATATGTATATGTTGGC